GGAACTCTACGCATCATCATCACAGAACAAAGCATGGAATGGCGATCAAACCTCTACCCGAACTTTATGGACTTTGAAGAGGCCTTCGACAGCGTTGACCGTGAAGTAATTTGGAAAATACTCGAGTACTACAGCATACCACAAATATTCATCAAAGGTATTCAACAGCTGTACGACAACCACACATGTCAAGTGATCCACAACGGAAACCCACTCAGCGAGGCGTTTGGAGTAAACACAGGAGTCAGACAAGGGTGCTTATTATCACCCACCAATGATATTCCTAATTATGGTGCACGACTGGATTATGCGTCAGACAGTGAGTGGGAAACGAGAAGACAGGGATATCCTGGACTGACGTGAAGAACCTAGAAGACCTGGATTTCCCACGTGGATGATTTATGTTTGATGTCACACAAAATCGAAGACTTACAAGCGAAAACCGACCGACAAACTGGTCGGAGAAGCAGCCGGCGAAGACAGGACTCCTAGTGAATACAGACACGGAGGAGGTTATGAAAATAACCAACCAACCAACAAAAACAGCAACATCCAGCTTCAATCACCATCAACGGGAGGGATTTGAAAAAGGTTGCTTCATTCACTTACCTAGGGAGTATTGTCTGAACTACAGGAAGTCGGAACGGACGAGGATGTCAAATCGAGCGAGAATCGGGAAAGAAGGCGAGAAACTCATACATTCATCAACCTGAAACCAATCTGGAAAGCTTCGTCACTCAGCCAGCATCGACTACAAAATTCAGTAGGATTTTCAATACAAACAGCGTCAAGTCAGTCAGTTCCTCTAAATGGGGACCAAAAACTTGGTGAGCAGTTCACAAAGAATATTTCCAACAGCCTGTTGCAGACCTTTATCAACAACTGTTTTCTCTGGATCTATACTGAATATCAGATAGCCGGACCGGGTAGGAAAGAATCACCAACAAGAAACTATGGGAAAAACAAACAAAACAAGAACCAATCGCCAACCAACAAATATTCAGGAGAAAGTGGAAATGGATTGGACACTCAATGAGGAGGGAGGCCGCTGGATGACATCGCGCGCATCAGGCCATTGCTTGAGTAGAACCAGGCCGGAAAGGAAACTGCGATTGGGACGTCAGAGCAAAGCTGACATTGAGGAGATCGTGTGAAGAGCTGAGGAGTTGAAACAGTATGTACTGACATGGATCCAGGTGAAACGTACAGCAGGAGGAAGACAGAAGTGGCAAGTGGAGACGTGCAGTTGAAGCCCTATGTTCCACTGGGAACCGAGGGGAACAATAATAATAATATAATAATATGTTGTCAACAAAAGTACTGATTTCAAAGGTGGATGTGGTCAGTGGTGCGTGAAAAAGAAATGAATACTACAGAAAAATAAAACTTCCTAGGTGTCCTTCACCCGAAGAAGACAGACTGATAACTGCAGAGAAATCTGTTTAGAGAGAAGACTTGGACAGGTCAGTACACCTGTCGATACATGTCGATACGTAGAGATAGGGTCAAGAAGGATGTCATAGATAAGGAACGTTTGTATCCTAATTTACAAAAGAAGACAGACAATCCAAAATGTTGACTTACTAGAGCAGTAAATATAACACTGCCTGCAACTGAACTTATCCTCAATTTCTCAACTAAACCAGTACTTGCACAACGAGTCAAGCACAAATTACCATTGATGGCTTCATCAGTGTGTCGTCTATGAATTCAACTACTTTTGTGGAGCTAGTTACTTTGGCAGTACTCAAAGAGGTTATCCATGCGCGCACGTGAACATGTAGCTGTACAGTTGAGCAAAGAATTTGCTGGATGTGTAAATAGTGCAGTCCACTTGGTAGATACTGGATACTAAATAAAGCCAGAGCAGGAGTTCTCGGTTATGTACCACGTTACTAAAAATCTCCCTAGAGGACCTCGACTGAGTCTTCTGTTAGTGGCTGAAGCATTTGTAGCCAGTATCTGGAAAACTGGAAACATTTATTTCTCGATATGAATATAAAACAAGTGACGAAGGTGAATAAAGCAGAATTGAATGAATTCATCAAACTTCGGTTGAACTCATCAGCTGAATACTATACATACACGGATATATATATACTTTTGAAATCACATTGGGAGATATAAGACTGATAAGCAAACAAACTACATTGAATTAATCATGCAAAAAGTCAGGTGCGAATGTCTTCTAGGTCATGTTCAAATAGATAAGGAGGAGAGGGAGTATGACAGATGAAAATTCAGATAAAATTCACTACGCTTCAATTAAATCACTTAGATAAACAATTAGTCATTAGAGAAGTTACCAAGAATTGCAAACAGAGTAGTAATAGTAATAGTTATAATAACAATGACAGTAATAATAATGCTGAAGTTAGTTAAGATAATGCTTCTGATAAAAGATATTTTTAAATGAATCAAGAATAATAATAATAAGAGGTAGAATAAAGTGTTATTTATATTAACAATAACAGTTAATTAGTGTCAGAAAACCTGGTCTTTGTAAAAAGAAGTATATCCAGCCACTATATTTACCCTGACCTACAATAAGGTCAATAAATCCTCCACAAACATTGGCACTGTGAATTCCTCCCCAATGTTTCTTCCATCTGCCTTTCTTCCACTGACCAACGTCTGTCTTGGACCTCCTACGACTTCATGACACATCTTATTATGCTTATTACCTTAGATTTACACAATGCTTTTCAAACTTGCCATTACACTTACACAATCGTATTCACCCCACTTCATTCATTCCATTATTACTGGATAATGGTATAGCGGTCAGGACGTTCGCCAACCATGCATATGGTCCGGGGTTCGACCCCCGGCCGGCGCACCCCTTTACCTCACTGAGCCAGAAATAATCCTGGTAAAGAGGAAAGGTTGGGCATGAGGCTAGCAACCCCATCCTGTAAAAATCAAACCCTGCTACAGAAACTTCAAGCCACTAGCTTGGAGCCCTATGTTCCACTGGGAACGTGAAGGAAAAATTATTATTATTATTATTAATGGTTCACTAATATTTATTTTACAAAACACCCTTGATATTATTTCATCAGTGTTATTGTTATTTGTCATCCTTGAACATACGTCTAGTCTATCCTATTCCTCGTTTTATGATTCTGTATTATCCATACTGTCTCGTGCATTGGTGGCACAGTGGTAGAATGCTCGCCTACCACTCATGTGGTCCAGTATTCGATTCCCGGTCGACTCATTCTCTTACCTCGCTAGGTCAGTAATAAACCCAGTAAAGAGGGAAGGTCGGATATGAGGCCAGCAACCGCATCCCCTAAAAACAGACACCACTACTGCGGAGACTTCAAGCCTCTAGCCTGAAACCCACTTCGAACGTAAAGGAATAAAGATTTTTAAAAATATTTTAAAAAATCCATACTGTCTTATGCATTCGGACTACACTCACCCTTGAAACCTGTACTGTTGTTGGCGATATATATATATATATATATATATATATATATATATGTATATATATATATATATATATTGTCACATTTTTTATTGACAATGCGCATTCTAAATGACAATAAAAACTTACTGCACATTGTTCCGTCCCATCTTTTAATTATTCCACATTACACTTTCCGATATAGTTCTAATTTACCTTTATGCTAAAATTAATGAATTTGTAATTGTACAGCTTGAAGAAGAATCAACTGAAACCACAATTGTATGCTCTAATTATTTTTGTTCTGAATAATATGAAATTACAAACTATCACAGAGATAAATGAAACAGGCATAAAATGGACCCTCACGAAAAACTTGGAGGATCTGGGCTTCGCCGACGATGATATATGTGCGCCGGTGTCACAGTGGTTAGGACTCTCGTCGACCATGCACATGGTCCGAGGTTCGATCCCCTGCCAACGCACACCTGATATCTATGGTCGGCCTGCAAAATTTGGGCTACCGATATGCATGCTGAAAATTCCATACATGTACCGAAAATACAGTGTGGAATCAAGCTGTAAATCAAAAATTAAAAAAAAATTAAAAACAATATGTCTGATTTCCCACAAACTGGAAGATATGCAACTGAAAAGCAACACGTTGGCAGAAGAAGCCCCGAAGATAGGACTTCAGGGGAACATAGAGAAAACAGAGGTGATGAAGACTCCTGGCCAACACCACCAACAGCAACAACAGACAACAATCACTATTAATGGAAGGAACCTGAAAGAAACAACCTCCTTTACCAACTGACCTGGGAAGCATAGTTTCAACTACAGGTGAGCGGAACTGACGAGGATATCAAAGCCAGAATCAGAAAAGCAAGACAAGCTTTCATTACTCTCAAGTCTGTGTGGAAGTCAACAGCACTAATCATCAAAAATAAGACTCGGAGTTTCAACTGAAATGTGAAGTCAGTGCTACTCACCATACGGATCAGAGACTTGCACAGCGCGTCATAAAGAGAAACTCAAACAAACTGCAAACCTTCATCAACAGCTGTCTTCGCCCAATACCAGTCAAAATCGGATGGCCGATCAGAAAAGCTCAGCAACAGGGATCTCTGGCAGTGAGTGAACCAACGAAGCAGGAACCGATTTGACAACAAATAAGCAGGAAGAAATGCAGATGGATTGGCCATACTCTGAGGAAACCGTCAAGTGACATCACTAGACAGACCATTGCTCGAGTGGAACTCGAAAGGGAAGCGGCGAGTTGGTCGTCCTATGTTGACTTGGAGGATGTTATGTGAAGAGGAGATGAAAGCATGTGAGCAGGCCTGGGGCCAGGTGAAAACTCTAGCAGAAAAGTGAACTCAATGAAGACGCGCAGCTGAAGCCCTATGCTCCTCTACGAATTAAAGGAAATAATAATAAATATACAGTGCACACGGTTTACACATATATTAGCCTGGCTGATGACCAATAAGGAAATTTTCTTTTAAATCTAGTTCAATTGCTGTTTCTTTTTCTTTTCACCTTGAACTAATCACCCAAAGTGTATTTCATAATTATATTTCTGTAGGTAGTGGAAACTGACAGTGAAGTAGAACTACGCAATGCCGTTGAAAGTTTTCGTCAAAATTTACGTCATTCAATTAATCCGAAAAATTTGAATAAATTTATCACTTCTTATATGCAGTAAGTTTATTCATTTAAACAATTTTGGGAGACTTTTATGCCTTATTAATCTTTTCCACATTCAAGAAATTATTTCAGGAATTCATTTATGCTGTCTCACATCTACTATCTTTAAATTCCAAGGGAAAAAATAAATAGACAAACAGAAGGTGTAGCGATCGGATGGTTGATCACCAATATCCCCTATCGTAGCATATATATTTATGGATAGCTGGGAAAATATGACTCTTAATACGTTTAATCCTACTCCAAAAATATGTTGGAGATATGTGGATGATATCTTTAAAGTGCTGAAAACGGAATCTATCTCTAACTTCTTGACACATATAAACTCACCAGTAGAGGGAATAATATTTACATTTGACTCGGAAAATGAATGAGGAGAATTAGCTATGCTAGATTGTGAGCTAAAACGAATAGAAGAAGGTAAACTACACACTAGTGTTTATAGAAAATCAACGCATTCCAATAGATATTTAGACTTTAATTCATCTCATCCGTTAGCTGTTAAGGCAGGCTTAGTTAAGTGTCTAACACACCGAACAGTAGCACTAAGCAGGACAAGAAACGACCTATATGATGAAATAAAACAGATAGGAGTGGCATTGATGTTAAGTAACTAGCTATCCTATAAAATTCATTAGGAATATCTATAAAGGTCAGAAGCAAAATGAAAATTTCGATAAAGAAAGGAAGACGAAATTTGCAGTATAAAATGATATCATTCGGTTATATAACCGTTTTAATTTCAGGTAGTCTGCAGATGATGAGAACCTGTGAAATAGAATGATATCATTTTATACTGCGAATTTCGTCTTCCTTTCTTTATTAAGATTTATCAAGGGAACCAAATGCACCAAAGTGAAAATGATTGTGAAACTAGTATTGATAACACAAATAAGAGAATATAAGTCATCTACTGTTTTACCATATAAGGAGGGGACATCTGAGACTCTCTCTACGTAGGATTCCTAATAAAGCAGGAATTAGGGTGGCATTCAAACCTACGAACTCACTCAGAGACAAGCTCTGTCGGCTAAAAGACCTGATGGACACAATTAAATAAAATTAATTTACAAAATACCCTGCAATGACTGTGAGGTCAATTTCGTAGGTCAAACCAGTAAATCGGGGGTAGTCAGAATGTCGGAACATAAGAATTTAACTAAGGTAAGAATGGTTGACCCCACTCGCAAAGATAAGTAATTTAGAAAAATGCTCAGCACTACAATGCACTACATGCATTAACACACAATCACACAATAGCGACGGTGGGAGAGGATTAAAATTCTAAAAGGTAATCAATGTAGGTGGAGAGAGAGATTGATTACTGAATCCTGACTGGTCCATTGAGTCTACACTCAACACACCACATTCAACAGAAATGACTGAATGCAAATATCAGAAATATGGAAGTTATTATTACCATCAGTCAGTCAATTCAGAGGAGGATAATAAATAATTTCAAATTGTATTCTATTTCAATTGAAGCACATCACAACATTCTAACAAGTTACTTATTACTGATGACTATAAAAACACTCGTCTTATTTCTCATCTGATTGTATTTGATCAATAACACTCATATTTCCCATATTGAATTTTACTCAAATATCTAGTCGATTCCGCACAAGTATATGAATGAAGGAAAACGATGTGTGAGTGGATGACTTGATATGATTATGAGTGGCAATAGTTTGTGCTCGAGACGTGGTCATCAGTTAATACTACTGTTTAACACCACTGTGTGACTTATCAAAATAAAATCTTATCGAGTTATACTCTACCATCACAGTGGGCAAGTTTTATACTAATATCAATAATTTTCTACACTTATACACACTGAATTATCTTCACACATAAAATCGGCATCACAGGTTCTTAATCTGTGATATCTTTTTGCTGTCAAGCAGATATGTGCACACATGGTTTGTATAATAAAAATATTGGAATACATTCTACGGTTTTGCCACTAGAGACAGTGTTAGCTACAACTTTCAGTGAATCTGATGTGTAAATTCGTCTAAACAAAGCCAACGAAATAAAAGTGCTTATCTCAAAAATTGAATGTGTGGAAATATATCTGATATGACTAATGAATGATGTGTGATCTGAAGAGGCGTCCTCTGAATCTGTTTTGCATATAAATATTGCTCTAAAACATGAGTAAGCCAAAAGACTCAATTTAGAAGTGTTTGTTGTTTCCCTTCATTTATCTAACATAAGTCAAATTTGTATCGAAATGAAAACAGTTTTTTACCAAGTGTACAGTTATTAGTGAACAAAGACGATTTAAAAGAATGGATACTGAACAAAGAGTACCCTTTTCGATAACCCCTTCTTCGTCAGGTTCTACATTTATATATGTACGTTAGAGCGAATGAATGAATTAATGTTATGAACAACATCAGTGTTGTTTAAATAACATCGAATCAATAATATTGATAGATTACAGATCAATAGCATCAACGTAAAATAATATTACAAATTCATGAAATTATAGTCTCTATTAAAGGCCAGAACAGTAGTAGGGACTAGCTGAACTTGCTTCTTTTGAACACAGAGAACTGGTTATTTGACGCGGCGAAATGCAATAGCCTCTGCTGTTTGAAGCACGTGGTGTTTCGATGATTTAAGCAATTCTCACAGCAGTTGAAATAATCCTATATTTAGCAGAATTAAATTATTCAAGTGTTGGTTTTTAGGGTTTTGATTGAATGCAGGATTTCATCATGAGCTGACATTGGTTAGAGAACCATTGGAAAACCTGGGAGTACTGGACAGCTGTTTCGTCCTAGTTTGGGACTCTTTATCAGTACGCACCCACCGGGATTCGAACCCAGGACTTTCTTATTAGAAGGCCAGCCAACTCGTAGACCATTAAGCCACTAGGACCCGATCCAGTGGCCCACGAATTCTAACTTCTGCCAATTCACGACATAGCGCGACCCCAGCCAATGTCTTAGGCGAGTATTTGTCCTCACAACCGACCTGCTGCACCCTACTGGTCACGATTTCTCACTAGAATCCCAGGAAACTACCTACCTGAATAGGGCGAGTCGCTAGTGAGCATCTCATTGATATTCAAGTGTTAGTTATTTTTATTTATTTTATTGCTCACTCCTATGAGTCACTTAAAATGTAAACTAGTGAGTGGTATTTTTTAAGAAGGTATAGGTAACTGCGAACTTCATGGTTATTGATTTTATTTTCAGAGCAAGTCACTCAAACAGTAGAAAGCTGTCTTCATTTGAGAAATTCTATTCTCATTGCCTTATTTTATGCACTGATAAACCTGATTCTGAGATAACCACGTACAGATTGACCTCCTGTTAGACTCAATTGAAAAGAGTGGATAAATTTTAAAAAAACAAACAAAATCAATACTACGTTTTCACGCTTACTTGTCTGGCCAGAAGTGAGAACATCTGTTTCGTCGTAGTTTGGTACTCTTCATCAGTATACCCCCACCATGGTTCGAATCAAGGTCACTGGTTCCATGGCGAACTCGTAGACAATTAAGCCAATGTGACTCAAACCGGTGGGTACGTACTGCTGAAGAGTTTCAAACTTAGACGACTTAATTTTATAGTATCCCTATGTTCACCGATGGTTCTCTAACCGTCGTCAACTCAAAATTAAATCCTATAATCAGTCGATGCCCCGCAAAACAAAACCTGACTAAGAACTACTTTGACAAGACACTGATAATGTTAAAAATATGGTCAACTACACAAAATCTGAATCTGCCTAATGGCTGAACAGAATACCGCTTTGTCTTCCGAGCTTAAGAAGAAGATTTCAGTGCTACTTTCAGTCTACTAATGTTGAATAAAATTATCACACAGCTCAACAAACTGTAAAGTAGGTGAGTAATCCATTTTACAAGATTTGACCTGGGAATATTACAGAAATTAATTACTGAATGAAAGATACTTTGAATAATCATAAAAACCACCTGTTCAGGCAGGACTTACTTCCAATGTGGCAAAATATTATATAATTATGACTCAATTTTTGACCGCTGTTATATATTTGAGATGACTGGGAAAAAACTGCAATTGTGGATAGATACGACTTTCCACTTTCCTTTCTATACTCCAACTGACTGCTCTTACAGAAGATGACTACTGGTGGGAATCGCATCAGTAATTTACTAGTGATAAATGAATAGTCAGTCAATGATATGGTTATGAGGATAACACTAAATTCATGCCAGCGACTACATGTTCTTATCTGTTGGCACTATTATGTACTGTGGGAAATAAGAATGGCATTTTTATTAATGGTCATAAAATACTTGTTGGTGAATTAATTATAACTTGGTGGGTGCTTATGATAAACTATGCTCCTAGGTAAATATTGGTTAACTTCACTGGCACCACATGCTAATCAAACTACTTCTAGGGTCAGATAGACACCCCACAAATAACTTAAAGCATTCCAGTCACTGTAATTAATATATGCACTGATGATATGGTCAAGTGTTTGAGGCGGTGAACTTATTATCCCCTGGAGTATATGTCCGCAAGAATTTAGAAACTTCACTATAATTATCTAACAGACCTCCCTCTTATCTCTCCACACACACACACACTGACAAGCTTACACATTCCTAGCATTCGTATTTATGTCCGTGTCACACTGACATATATAGTGTGTGCAATTGCATGCTGCCGTATTAAATGAATGGTTTTTTCTCATTTAGTGTTTCCTGGGATCCTAATATTGATGTTCTGATTTGAGTAATAGTCAAACTACCCACGCATGTAAAACCGATCGTAGTAGATACTGAAATTTCAGCGCAAATGTCTGTCAACCCGTATCTGAACGGAAGCAGTGAAACTGCAAAGAATAGAAATCGCAGCCTGTATTTATCTTAACATTCTGCGTAATAAACTTCAGCTTATTATATATGAGTCTAGAGATGTGAATCAGAGCTACTTAATGTCATCTTATAGTTGTTAAATAACTCAAAAAGAAATATCAAGAGTCATTCC